CCTGGAGCAAAGGAGGATCCCCAGGGATCTTTTCCCTCTCTGGAATTCCCTGCCAGGAGGGCACAGCCAGGGTACAGGCTGGGAACAGGGACAGGAGCAGAGGGAACGGCCTCAGGCTGGGCCAGGGCAGCTCAGAGTGGTTTTTGGGAACAATTTCCTCATGGAAAGGTTTGTCCAGGCCTGGCAGAGCTGCCTAGGGAAATTTGGAGTCCCCATCCTTGGAGGGATTTAAAATCCATGTGGATCCAATCCCCCATTTGGGCACATGGGACAGTGGTGGCCTTGGCAGTGCTGGGAATTGCTGGACTCTGTCTCAGAGACCTTTTCCAACCTAAAACCTTCCATGGTTCTGTGATGGAGTTTTTTGATCTGACAGCTGCCTATTCCAAGCTCACCTGGGTATTTTTACATACAACAGCCCTTGCATTGCTTCATTCAGAGCCACTCGGGCATGGAAAAGAAATCTCTCTTCTTTTTTTTTCCCCCTTCATTTCCAGATCTGTAGGGTTGCAGATAAGCCAGATGTGCAACACATGAGCAATGTATATTTTTTCCCAAATTAAGGCTGCAGAGTTCATTATGCTCCTGGTTTTAATTCAGTTTATGTCGCAGAATATCAACACAGCTGCTTTGAGCAATCCTGGAGAGCAAAGGAAATAAAAGGAAAGGGATCCCTGTCACTCTCAGTGCTGCTGCCTCCTGGTGACCACAGAGTAATTGGGGTTGGAGGCAACCTTTGAAGCTCCAGCCCATTCCCCTGGCCCAGCCCATCCACTCCTGGCTGCATCTGTAGAAATCCCATTGATTGAAAAATTCCCCCCGCCGCTTTTCAAGTGGCAAAGTCACTTTGCAAGGGTGGCATGTCACCAGCAGTGTCAGTTAATCCTGGCTGCGGCAGCCCTGTTAATGCACTGCTTAATCTGCTGCTGACAAGCCGTGATTTATGTTCCCCGGAGATCCCAGCCTTGCTAATTGAAATGGATTGGAACTCGTGTTCCCCATCATGGGCTGGGTTTGGATACTCAGGGTGCTGGGAGAGACACACAGAAATAGCTGAGCTGGGTAGAATTTAAGAACTGGTGTTACAAAAACGGTAATTTTCGTGTGCATTTGGGTATTTGTCTTTAAATATCATTTTTTTGGAGCAAATAATGGATTTGCCACATCTGCTGACCTCCTCTTCCATGGAAATCAAAGCAAATATAATAATTTGTCCACCTGAATTAGACACAAAGTGACTAAACAGGCAAGACAGTCTATCAAGCTTGATTATTCCAAATGGAAATTGATTTTACTCAGTTAATTGGGTGCTTTGCCTTGCTCGGTCTCTTACGTGTAAATGATTATTCTGATTTGTAATTTTTTAATCTAATTATTGCCATCTCTTTGAAATGATCTTTACCGAGGCTATTTGTGTAGAATACATGAGGAATTTTTACAGTCAGATAGAATTTTGTGGGCAGTTATATTAAATTATAGATCATTATAAAATTATATATTTGTCCCCAAATTCCCTTGTTGTTTCTGAAGGGATTGGAAACAAAGCTTGCCTGGTTTTTATTTGCAACATTGCAAATACGTTTACAGCAACATTGAGTGCGCTGTAAACAGTTCCATTAAAATTATGGGATTTATGGTGAAATTTTATGTTCACAATGGAGTGTTTTCTAATTTATCAGTGGCTGGATTTTGAGGAACGTTTCCCAAGTGGAGAGGTCCCTTCTTGAGTTTCTTGCATTAAACACATGCACACACATCTCCACAAACTCCATTCCTTTATTTCTGTCTGGATTTTAGGATATTTTGAGTCTCGAGGAAGAATTACAAGGATTCAAAATAAGAAAATGAGAATTCTGTTTGTTTGGGTTTTTTAAAGCTCCTGAATGTTAAAGTGATGTCAAAACATGAGACTTGATCAAACTTCTGGAAATTGGATTTGAGGCTCAGTGTCTAACTCCAAGTAACAGATGGTTATGGAATGGTTACCCCAAGAGGGGAATTCTGAAAAGCTGGAATTGGAAATGCTGGAATTCTGACAAGCTGGTCCCAGCTGGTGGCCCATGGAGGGTGAGATGTCCCTGGTGAGCTGGGGGCAGGGATCCAAGGTCCTGCTGCTCCACAGGCTTCAGTGCCCAAGGTGGGGATGGGGATGGGGATGGAGGGGCTGGCTGTGCTCAGAGGCGTCTGTGGGACCTGGCACCTCCCAGAGCTGTTTGTTCATTTTCCTTGCAAACACGAGGAATGAAGGGTTGAACTCCAGCTGGATGGGGCTTGGAGCACCCTGGGATGGTGGGAGGTGTCCCTGCCCATG